TGGGATCTTAATAATTATTGAATGGATAATTCCCCGGCAGATTATGCATGCCTGTGACGCAATTACTTATATCTGTGAATAAAGGAGATCGAATTCCTTAATTTTTTGTATCCTATTAGGAATAACGATTTCCGGTTTAAGTTCAGCTATTCTTTCATTATTCAATGAAAGGAGTTTGTTTCTAAGATCGGGGATCTCAGTATTCTCCTTCCTAAGCTCTACATTCTCAGCCTCAAGATCAGTGATACGTTGTTTCAATAATTCAAGCTCGGATGACATGATCTATATAACTAATACAATGTATATAAGCATTCAAATAAAAAAAATGTGTTTTTGGGTTGGAGACTCTCAACATGAAATTTTCTTGGCAAAAGTGATCGGCGTGAACAATTGTTCACGCGCACGTGATTTTTTTTATTTGTCATCCATGCTGACGGGCCGAATCATGTAATTTATTTACTACATCAAGTAAAGAATTCGGCCGAAAAGGCTATGCATTGTGGGATATAGATGTATGGTGAGTAAAAAAAGTGAGTCCTAAAGTCCCACTTAGATAAAATAAATCGTGTCCAATATGAAAGTTGTAATCGTCTGAACTTGATAAATAAATGCGCAATAACGTTAGACATCATGTATCCCGGGAATAAGTAACAAGTAATTGCATGTAATTTATTCCTGCATATATTCAAACTTTACGTATAACAAAAAAGACCTCCCTGTTGATCTTTGTATATAGGTAGCGTCAAAGTTTTTTTTTATTATAATTTTAAGTATTAGTTTATTAAAATATGTAAACTACATAAAGATAAAAGCACATGACCTAACTCTAATAGTTTGGAGATACATTAATTAATTCAATAAATTACTAATCTTCATTAGCGAAGAATCAGTTATTGACGAATCAATTTTACCGATCACTTGTTGATTTATGTTGCTTTCTTTAAGTAAATTTAAAAGATCACCGCCATAATATGCTGAAGAATCACGTGAATCATCTCCTTCATCCAAAGTACTATACGCCTTATATCTAACTCTTTTGGTTTTTGGAGTGAAGTTAACCTTCGGTAATCTTGATTTCTCTGCCTCCGATGGAAGTCTTGGAAATTCAGAGCAAAGTTTTCGTTTCTTTCCGGAAATCCCTTTGTCAAGAAGATTTCTCAAATAAAGGCCATCCTTGCAAACAACCTGCCTCAGATAAACTATTAAATTGAACGTGTTTTCGATATTAATTCCAATGCAATCTGATTGCAAGTCAAAGCTCTTGATGTCTTGATCATAAAGATATAAGATGGTATCGTATTCTTGGCTGTAGAGAGGTCTTAACATTCCAAAACGTATATGAGCATTATTTACTAAAGCAACATGCACTCGGATCAAGGATATTTCCGATTCTGAATACGTATGAGTCGAAAGTATGCGGTTTAGGGCATGGGATGCTTCAGCAACAACAACAGCATAATCTTTATGGACCTGCATACCACCAACTTCAAACTCCAAGATAAAAAAAGGGTACTGCTCCTTTGTGGTAAGGGAAGTAGCAACACATGCAAAATCTGACCTGGCCGATCCCTTTCCGCTATCACCAGGAATTTGATGATGGAGTTCCCATGTAGGTTCAAAAGGAACAATATTAAGAGAAAATGCATCCGACAATATTTTTGTCCATAGCTGGGATTTAAAATGATTTTCAGATGGATCAGCACCAGGGCGAACTGGTAAAGGTGTGAATAGTAGGATTGATGTCAATGCAGACAAAGCTGTTGGTGCATCAATAACAAAATCAGCAGGCTCTAAACCCAACCAACGTTGTATCGTGCCTACAATACCTGACTGCACCATTCCCATTTTACCTTCTTTTATGATTCTATTTAATGCTGGGATAGCATCTTGCAGTTTTTGATGTCGGGTATCCTCTAAACCCGCAATTACAATACCAAAATTTACAGCCGGTCTCCATAGGTCTGGATAACATATAGGATCCTGTGTCGGGAACAATTTACTGTCCACAACTGACCAAGAAAGTAATTTGAAGAGGTGTCTGCCACGTTGAGACTCTTCTTCAACACAATGGTCCTCCAATCGCTCTAATATATTACAATATTCTTTCAAGGCCGGAAAAGCCATTGTATTTACAGAAACATACTGGATATTATAGTTGGCTTTTTGTTCATGGATCTTTGAGAAGTGTGCTTGCGTCTCCTAGAAAATAATTGAAAAAGATTACATTGTAATTATTGTAATTCTAAATCATGCAACATAAATATAACTACCTCTGGAGATAAATGAAAGAAGTTATTATCATCATGAGAACTAGAGACATCACGGACATATTGGGATGTTGCATTTTTATTCTTGATAGATTTCAAAAGTAGGTTAGAATTGAATGATGATATATCACATTTTTTTCTGACATTTATATGTTCGCTCACTATATCATCTGCAGATTGTTATTTATGTGTTTACCTTCTTAGAGGCAACTGCCTCTTCATTTTCATAGGGTCGCTTGGAGATTAGGGCTTTCTCGTTTTCGATGACTTCTTCCTTTTCTGCTTCGTCTTTAAAAAAATCGGCATACTCAGTAGTAGATTGAATGGGATGTAAATTGGTATCAGATACAGTGGGTTGGAAAATATCTTCGTCAGATTTCCGTTCCTAAAAGTTGAAATTTAATGGTAACGGTAAGTACTAAAGCAAATGCATAGATTCAGAAGGCACGAATAAAAACGCCGACAATACTTTTTCAATCAATTCTGTTGACTTTTCTGCATAACGCGATGAAAGTTTAAGTGTATTGAAATCGCTAGACTTCTTTAAAAGTTCACATCCATTCCTATCGAAAGACCTCTCGAGTTCCCATTCGTTTTGCCTCTATGAACGATAAATTAATATTTTCAATAGATATTATAGGCCAAAAACCATAAATTATTTACCGCATCAAACTCTTGATCCAATTTTTCAAAAAATTCAGTGATCTCTCTTCTTTTAAAAGTTTCACAGGCATTATCGTATAATTTTTTCGCTTTGTTCTTCATCCTAGAATTACTTACAATACTAGACTCATTAACTTTCTTAAAGGCTCTTTTCAACGCGTCTAAGATCTCTTGTTTACTATCAGAAGTAAATTGTATATGATTCTTCAAGTGGTTAAGGCAGTTAAGAACATTCCAATTCTTATAATCAGAGTCCATTATATAAGTTAAAATGTGTTGGTAAAAGTCCATATCTAATATAAAACGCACCATTAGTGATCTGGGAGATAATTATGACGAAAACGAATATTATTATTGTGACATTTAACAATATAGTATACTGGAAAAGAGGTCCAGACGTCGGCACTAAGAGCCATTACAAAATAATCATGTAACGAGTCATAGTGATTCATTCTGCGACTACTCCTCCAAGCATCGGCCAAAGGGCAAAGACCATAGAGACGTAGGATACTGATATTGTTAAGTACACTGGAAGAGAGGTCCAGACGTCGGCACTAAGAGCCATTACAAAATAATCATGTAACGAGTCATAGTGGTTCATTCTGCGACTACTCCTCCAAGCATCGGCCAAAGAGCAAAGACCATAGAGACGTAGGGTACCATTAACGCATCTTTCATTTGTGAAAACATGAAAAAAAATACTAAACTTAGCTTCTGTATAAGTTAGGCGGAATGTCTTTCTTGGGATAACTTGAACACGAGAAATGGTTTTATATACGCTCGTGTCATTCATAATCTCTGACTCAAGGTTACACGAGCTCAGGGGCGGTGATCACAGAATTTGGCCTGATTTAGGATTTGCAATCATCGTTACTTTTATCACACACAAAATTTACTTTTTATCACCACAAAAAATCATCGTCTGATCAAGAAAATTCGTGCTGGTGGTCACGAAATGTGTTGAGTCAGAAAGTATGATACTCATACTGGGGAAATTTTACATAGAAATTGACTTTTGATGGATGAGGATCACGTTTTACAATTCTACAAATAAAAAAACATGAGATCATGACCCGTGGTCACATCACATATCAGGTGATAAGCGTGAAGATTCTTCACGGTTGGTGATGGGCGTTAATTAACCATTCCGTGGAATTTTATGAGATTTGTACAGTATTATTAATGTAAAATTCGCACAAATCCCGATAAATTCCTGCAGATTCTATGGGAATCCCATCCCTATTCACGGTGCTTTATTAATGAGCGATGAAAAAAAAATAAATACAAGCTTAGGACTAGCTCACTATACATGATAAGCTTTATGCCACAATCGCGAACTTGAATTTATTGCTTGAAGTGAAGCAAGTAAGACAATATTCTGTTCCATACCATTCGCCATGTAATCTATAATTCCC